CCCCAAAACCCCAAAACCCCAAAACCCCTTGAAGATGAAATCTTGAAATGAAAGAATCAAATTAAATTAAATAAAATAATTTCGCAAAATAAAAATAGTGTTGTGATTTCATTGTATTAGAATTTTCAAAATGGTAGATAATACGCAGCAAACAATGTTTGAATTAAATAATATATTGAGCAAGTAAAAGTAAAAGCGTAATGAGAGGACACTAAACTCCTTGCTAACATCAAATATCACCTAGCCTAAAACACTTTAAACCTCTCGAGGAAAGAACGATATATATCAAAATGAAATTGCATATTAACAGCCTACTCCGCCCATCAATATAGCTCTTAATCAACTATTAAAGCAAGAAGCTTCGCTTGACTAATACTCAAAAAAGTTATTAATAAACAACTAACATAGGCATAGAAGATAACAGTCATTGATATAGCAAAGCAATAGTACACATTTATCAAGCAAAAGATAAATGTAACAAAAGACTCTTAATAATGTAAATCATTTCATCTTACATGAAGAAAATAAACATACTGAAAGTAATGAGTTCAAAAATGGAATCAAAAATGCAGTGACGACTGATGATGAAAATCAGTAGGATATATGCAATTTTAAAACTACAGATAACCAGGTATTTATTCCCAATATAAAAGCTAGCCATTTCCTGGACTTTGATAAAACTGATAGGAATCTAACTGAAAAAAGTACAACTACAGATTATACTTAAGTAAGGGTTGATGCTTCGTACAATAACTCTATGTTAGCATATTTGTTAAAAAGATAAATTAGAGGAGATGTAGGCATTCAATCGAGTGACTCAAGAATTAAGAATGAGTAAAACAATTTCTAGCTAGATTTATCTCAGGATTAACTGCAAAGCTTCATCAACCAGATAAATGAGACATCAAAGATGAATTCTACTATTCAAATAGGTCAATTGAAGGAATATAAAATTGGGAGTACTGCAAATAATTCAAAAACCAATATTGGCAAATTTTAAAAGCTTAATTCCGATTTTTAAAAATATCAATAACTAATACTCAATGGCTCGTAGTTCACTTTAAAATAAGTAAACCCATTAAAGTCAACCAGAGTTTCTGTTTAAATATCTCCAAATGAAATGTAAGTGGAAGAATTGGGATGCTCTTAATAAAACTTGCTTGATTTTAATAATGAAAGAAATGAGCATCGATTTAACTAAACAGATGGTTTAATTCATTAAAATTCGTAAGCTCACCAAAATAGAAATAGAGCCTACATTAAATCAGAGCTGTATTAGCATAAGAACAATTTTGAAATGTTTTAGAAACAAATGCTTACTAGGAGAGAACTTGAAAAGCTCATTTTATTGAATAAGCTTAAAAGAGATGGGATTTAGATGGGGCCATTTGAATGTATTGAAAAAGAATTGCTCTAAATAAGTAACTCAAACTAGAAACTTGAATAATCTAATTAAAAAAGTAAGCAGCAGATATCTCAGCAACAGCAGTAAAACATTATCACTCTGCATAATATTTAGTAATCAGTAATAGAATAAAGTTAATAGTTGAATGGGAACAAGGAAGGAAAAAGATTAACAAGTAAGAAATTTTAGTAAACTGGCGAGCATGATTCATAGATGATATTAAAGAAAATGATACAAGACTAGTTGCACAGGAATATCAATCATGCCTATAATATGCAAAGCAATTTCTAACTATAAGGCAAAAGAGTGCAAAGTACTGAAGATACAAGAAGATAGGAAAAATCAACAGGTAGAAACATTATCAACTCTAATATCAAGAATATGGCAAATAGAGAAGGAGGAGAACCATTACCCCAAAGAGCACAAACACTGAAATAGAAAAAACATAGTGAGTCAGAAATAGATAGTGGATTACCTTAACCAGTAGAAGTAGTCAAAGTTAAATCGAAGTAATATTATGTAGATCATCCTCCTTAACAATAACCCGAAAGAACAAGCTAAATACTTCTCTAGAGTCAAAAAAGACATAGTCAACCTAAAAACCTCAACTTTAGAATTAATTAGTAGCTATTTAAGAACACTCTTCAAAAGAAACCCACTAATATATCATCATCAAAGGAAGAAAGCAAGCGAGAAGATCCTTCCAGTAGTCTCCTTGATTAAGAGTAAATATCAACCTCCAGAACCTTAAATCAATAAAAGTTAGGTCAAAATTTTAATAACTGCATCGATATTATAAATATGTATCTCAAACTAACGATTAAGAATAAAAATAGTCTAACTTAAGTTGATGCTATTCGATTTGTAAAACTAACTAAGATCATTAGAGTTCATTTGAACTAAATGCAAAAGTAATCTTGCAATGAACTGAATCAGTTTATAAAATCTAGAGAATTTATATCATAATCAAGACTGAGAATACATAGCTATCTAAGCGAGACAATATTCAAAAGTTTTTCTGCTGATGTCTAACTCAATTTTTCCAAGAAAGAATATGTTAAATTCTACGTTGATTCAACTGGGAACAATAACGTCCTTGTAAAAAATATCTTGAAAAGAAGAAATTGGATGCAATTTCAGGACAGTATTAAATAGAATTTTGATTAGGCAAGTATCATATGGACTCAGTGGAAGAAGTTGAAAATTCTTGATTAATAAAAAGCTCATTAAATCTATGCAAAAATAGACGGCAATCATCACTTAACTAATAAGTATTTCTTACTAGCTACGATGAAGTAATTTTACAAGAGTCAGGACAGAGACTATAGAAAAATCATGCCTTGGACTTTTAAGATTGAACTATATGAGAAGAATATATTACAAAATAAGTAGTTTATTAAGTTTAAGAAGTCATTTCTTGACTAAGAATCATAAAATCCCTAAAATAATCTATGGATTTTGAAGCCAGGTGAAAACTCTAATAGAGGTAAAGGTATAGTAATAATGAAGGATCTCAAAGACATATTAACTTTTATTGAAGAGTAAAGGGGGTAAAAGGTAGTTATTTAGAAGTATATTTAGAATCCCCTTCTTATTAATAAGAGAAAATTTGATATCAGAGTCTTTGGATTGGTATAGTTGATGAATAAAACAGAGTATAGATGCTATTTTTATAAAGAGGGTTATCTGAGAACATCTTGCAGAGAGTTTACAACTGATAATCTAGATAACAGATTCGTACATTTGACTAATGATGCTATTTAAAAAAAGAGTTCTGACTATGGCAAATTCGAAATGGGGAATAAAATATCTTATGATGATTTCAATCAGATTTTGCTAAAAGAAAAAGGAGTTGATTTTTATCAAGAAATACTACCTATGATTAGAAATGCTGTGAGGGATACTTTAGAGGCTTTTGCTACTGTTCTAGAAGATTAAAATCTCCAGCCTTTTAAAAATTTCAATAATTTTGAAGTAAGGAATGCTTATTGTTTTAATTATCATTTAGTTATTTGGCTATGATTTTATGATTGACGATAAACTGCAGCTTAAATTGATAGAAGTAAATACAAATCCTTGTTTAGAAACTCAAAGCTGTGCTCTGTTATCAAGAATCATTTCACAAGTAGTAGATCAAACTTTTAAGTAATATTTGGAAATTTTAATATACTTGTTAATAGAATTGCTGTAGACCCATTCTTTTAGGGTGAAGAATATGATTATTTGAATAGCTAAGAGTATTCAATGAACGAAATTAAATATGAGATGATATTTTCAAAGACAATAGAATTTAGCAAAGAAGTAAATTTAGTTGAGCCATCTCAATGATTTATTATTTTCATGCTTTTATCCTGATTCATATTAATTTTCCAGTATTTTAACTCTTTGGGGTTTTGGGGTTTTGGGGTT